GAATGGTCCAACCTTCCCATAGATACCCTCCTAAACCTTGTGGACGGCCTTCCAGAAGAGTTGAAGCTGTTATAGTTGCAAAGGGTGGGCCAACTCAATATTGAACCCTACGGACTAAGACTGGGAGGCCATTAAAGTTCATGTGCGTGTAAAGGCAGACAGACCAATACTTTGGCAATATAGTGTATAGTGTTCCATTGTGGAGAACTCCCTGCCTAACCCAGAGTATACACTAGATGGCGAACATCTTCAAACTACAGGAGATTCAGCAGCCATTTTCTTGTAGCCCAAAAGCTTTTATGATTAGGACCTAGAGGTCCAGGAGGAGGTCCTGGAGGTTTGCACTCGGTGATGCAAAGGTAATAATGTCTTCTTATTATGGGTGAAGGCCGTTACTATGAACTGTATGGGGTGGTTATACGATGTTGTGGGTCACTGTCCTCCATACAGCACAGTCAGTAGCAAGATTTGCACTGGGGGGATTATTCTCATCTGGTGTTATGGGGTTTTCATATAAATAAATATTATTATAGTGGTGATGTTTGTTTTTCCTGTCAGACGCTGCAAAATGTTAGGTTGTTGCATGCCAGGTGCCGAAAAGCAGCATAATACATGAATGCTCTGACACGGCACAGAAAGCGTTCGCTCATCAGTACAAGAGCAAGTTCAGCCCCTCTCGGCTAAATCTTCCAATGGCATCGGCAGGCGCTGGATCTTAATTATAGCCTCCGACCTCAGCATATAAGTGCCATTGTGTCACCACTACATCCCCTGGATTATCTGCTGTGGACAGAAGAATGTTCTTCATATTCTTTCCTCTTACATTCATGTTACATTTGTTTATATAGATATATTAGGGCGAAACTGTTTACAAGGAAAAGCTACTAAACTGATCACCTGGCAAAGGATGGAGAAGGAGCAGAGTCACACTACAGAGAGGATATTAAATCTCACCCTGGAGATCATCTACCTACTGACCGGAGAGGTGAGGAGGATTCTGGGAGATCACATGACATCACTCTTATCTCTATTAATAAAACGCAGACCTGACGGGTGAGGTGAGGTGGATTCTGGGAGGTCACATGACATCACTCTTATCTCTATTAATAAAACGCATACCTGACCAGAGAGGAGAATTCTGGGAGGTCATATGACATCACTTTTATCTCTAGTAATAAAACACAGACCTGACCGGAGAGGTAAGGAGGATTCTGGGAGGTCACATGACATCGCTGTTATCTCTATTAATAAAACAGGTCTGACCGGAGAGGTGACGAGGATTCTGGGAGGTCACATGACATCACTTTTATCTCTATTAATTAAACACAGACGTTAATGGAGAGATGAGGAAGAGTCTGGGAGATCACATGTCATCACTCTTATCTCTATTAATTAAACACAGACCCGACTGGAGAGGTGAGGAGGATTCTGGGAGGTCACATGGCATCACTCCTATCTCTATTAATTAAACACAGACCTGACTGGTGAGATGATGAGGAGTCTGGTAGGCCACATGACATCACTCATCTCTAGTAATAAAACACAGATCTGACTGAATAGGTGAGGAGGATTATTGGAGGTCACATAACCTCATTATTACCTCTATTAATAAAACACAGACCTGAACGGAGAGGTGAGGAGGATTCTTTGAGGTCACATGATATCAGTGACATCTATATTAAAGCTCAGCTTTTTGTCTATTGGATGGGAAAATTGCATCTACTTACCTGACCCAGCAAATGGCACTCACCTACGCTCTGGCAGTGGACTGTGCCTTAACGTTCTCACATTCACTGCAGGAATATGGTCCCTGCATCTGTCTTGATGATGTGAGAGGACTTTAAACTGCCAGACTGGAGAAAAGGCGGCAGGAACTGGTCTAGAAGCATTCAGGATCCTTGAGAGCAGAAGATCACGTACATAAGTGTTTTACCCAGTCCCCTAGATAGAAACGAGCTGCAAAACGAGATACAGCCCCACTACAAGGGATGAATTTTCATTTTCCTGGAGTCCAGCTTTACTAAATTGCAGACCTGGCCACAGAGCTGAGAAGGATTCTGGGAGGATCACATAACAACTGAACTAACTGGAGAACTGTAAGATATTTTAATGTCATACACCGTAATGAACTGACATTGTTTATTTATCATAACTTTGTACTTTTGCTTTAAATAAAGAGTTACATAGCTTTCAAATTATCAAATGGTTTGGTGGCATCCAACTTGAGGAAGACCCAAAACCCCATTATAGAGCCTCCATCTCACTCCCTGAGAAAGAACAACAAGGAGATCCTAGAAGTCACCCAGAAGATCATTGATCTGCTGACAGGAGAGGTGAGCGGTGCTGGGAATTCTGGGACATTCTCCAGTAACAGGCAATGGATGTGTCTGGATGGTGACTGTGCCATTGTGTGTGTCAGGTTTCAAAAAGGTGTCAGGATGTCACTGTCTATTTCTCAATGGAGAAGTGGGAGTATATAGAAGGATACAAGGATCTCTACAAGGACGTCATGATGGAGAACCGGCCACCCCTAACATCACTGGGTAAGAGGAGACTTTAATTTCTTGTTTAGAGGATCCACCTAGATACACACATCCTTTGATATAAAGACATAGAAACAATGTATTCAGTCAGTGTTTCCTACAGATGGATCCAGTAATGGGAACCCACCAGAGAGATGTCCCCGTCCTCTGTATTCCCAGGATTCCACACAGGAACATCAGGAGATCCCTCAGGAGGATCAGGTATATGGAGTCCAAAATGGAATATTAAATATCACCTATTCTAGCAGGTAGACCCATAATACATCTACTGTTCAAACTTAAAAAGAGAATAATATGGCCCCTGGCAACTTTACTGCAGCACAAAGCTGTCAGGTAACACTTCCTCCATTTATGAAAAGTCTGTCTGAGGAACAAAGATGCTGGTTCAATTGCGCTGCTCAGATGGGCTTCCTGTGGGGCTTATTGGGAGTAGAGTTCCTCCCCAGTCCCAAGAGGTATTCTTCACCCCATTTCTCTTAGACAGCAGTTTGAGAATACAGTCATGACATTTTGAACCACATTATTTAAATTATCATTCTTGTGTAGGTAATGCTGGAAGTAACCCGGACTGATAGGAAAACTAGAGAAGAAGCAGAAGAGCTTCACGAGAGGGGTGATAAGCCATGTAAAGAGGAGTTATCTCCAGAGATCAGCACAGGTGAGGAATAAACACTAAATCCAGAGAAGAGTCCCAGATCCTCCTTGTTCAGTCACTACAACAATCTCTTCTTCTCCCCCTGCTCTGTCAGTAGACAGTAATGGGGGAACAGTATGTGCCCAGTGGGGGGGTCAGGAGCCATCAGCTTCTATTAGACTCCGGCTCTCTTCCTTACATCATGTCATTGAGACGTGACCAGTCTCCTCCCACACACACTCTCTGGGGTCTCTCACACATCTCAGTACAGGAGGCTTCACTCTCATCTTTATTCACAGACCCCGGAGACACCAGACAGACTCAGAGAGACGTCAAAGATGAGGAAGAAATAGAAATGAAGATTAAAGAAGAGGACATTCTTACAGAGATCAGCACAGGTGAGTAATCTCTAAACCAGGGGTGTCAAACTCATTTTAATTGCGGACCACATCAGCACTATGGCTGCCCTCATAGGGCCAGTTGTATCTGTAAGACTAGATGTCTAGAGTAGTCTTTCTCAATCAGGGTGCCCAGGCACCCTTGGGTGCCTTGAGGTTTCTTCAGGGGTGCCTTGGCAAAATGTCTAAAAATTGCCCAAAACGTGTATACAAGCCAGCAGGTGGAACAAACTTGCCTTTTAGTTACACAAAGCCACAGGTTTTCATTGTGCACCATTACGACCTTCTAGCCACCAGTGTCCTGACAACCAATGACATCATCAGTTAAGGAGAATGTCAGCTGCCTGTACAGCATCCTAGTTTGACCCTCCCCTGCCCATTTCCATCAGTGCTGGGGTCACATTAGCTCAGTGATAGAGAAAAACTGAGGGGGAAGAGAAACACTGGAATACTAGTCAGTACCAGTGTGCAAAAGTGTATTTGCTTTGGAAGAATAAATCCCCTCTAATGTTGGGTGTCCTACATGTGTGGATGTTGCTGTGTTATATAAAACTATTAGAATAGTTTTTCACATTTTAAAATGGGGTGCCTCTTTAAAATTATGGACACTCTTGAGGCACCCCGTTTTACAATGGGGTGCCTCAAGACTGTCCATAATTTTAAAGAGTGCCTTGGGACTGTCCGTAATGTTAAAGGGTGCCTTGACTGAAAAAAGGTTGAGAAACACTGGTCTAGAGCACCCACCACCCCTTACATCAGAAGTAAAGAGTCCCCCACCCTTCCTTACATCACAGTGAAACCCTCTTACCTTGTGCTACTGCTGGGAAGAAGGTGGGGATGGAGATGGGAAGCAGAAGGTGCAGGGTCTGGAGGAGGACCAGAGAGCTGAATGAGGAGATGCTGCACAGAGAGGTGCAAGATCTGGTGCAGAAGTACTGTCATCCTATCTGCTGCCTACTGCTGAGAAAATGTTGGGGCAGATAGGAGGGTGGTACTGCAGCTGCAGAGGTGAAATGGCCTGACAAGCTGGGAATCGGACTGTGGGCCTTGTGTTTGACACGTTCTCTAAACCCTAAATACAGAAAAGACTCTTAAATTCTCATATACATCCTCATACCTCCAGAAACATGCCTGAACTCTGTGTGCTACCTGAACCACAGATCCTGTTCTGATATGGGACTAGCAGGCAAGAAGCCAGTGGTCTGTGGGAAAATATTGTTCCCACCATATTATCATACATTGTCACAGAACATTATGAATAAACAATTTTAAAGACATATTTTATGTTTAATAGCCTTTTAACTGTTTCTGCTGCCTTTCATCTCTGATTATTCCCAGGTGGACAACACGGACAATTGGGGAATAATTCCATTGACCCTCCAGATTTTGACATAGAAGATGGTGACCTCACAGAAGATTCTTCAGAAGAAAATGTAATCACCTCATATCTTCACCCAGTGCTTTCCAGTGCAGATCTATTAGCCGATCCCTCTACCCAAGGGGTGAGCTTTCTCCAATACTCCCCTCTGGACACACGACACACAGATCATAGAGAAGGTGAAATGTTCCCATGTTCCATATGTGGAAGGTTCTTTTGTCCAGAAGGTGACACTTGTCTCTCACCAGAAAACTCATGCAGCAGAAAAGCCGTATTTGTGTTCTGTATGTGGGAAAGGTTTTACACAGAGGTCGTGTCTTACCCTTCATCAACGAATTCACACAGCTAAGAAGCCGTATCCTTGTTCTGAGTGTGGGAAATGTTTTACCCAGATAGGAACTCTTATTTCGCACCAGAGAATTCACACCGGGGAGAAGCCGTATTCATGTTCAGAATGTGGGAAATGTTTTGCTGTTAGTTCAGTTCTCACTAACCACAAGAGAATCCACACTGGGGAGAAGCCGTATTCATGTTTAGAATGTGGCAAATGCTTTGCACGGAGGGCTGATCTTAATATACACCAGAGGATTCACACCGGAGTGAAACCGTTTTCATGCTCAGAATGCGGGAAATGCTTCTCGGTGAATTCAGTTCTTACTAGACATAAGAGAACGCACACGGGAGAGAAGCCGTACTCATGTTCAGAATGTGGGAAATGTTTTTCTCGGAGGGCACACCTTATCTCCCATGAAAAGCTTCACACAGGAGAGAAGCCCTATGCATGCTCAGAATGAGGGACATGTTTTGTCACTAATAATGATCTTATGTTACATACGAGAACTGAAGTGAAACCAGAATGTGGGATTTCTTTCTGAAGAACCAAAACTTCAAATAGTTTATAAAAAGGGTACATTCTAGTGGTGCACCGAAATGAAAACTCTGGTGCCGAAACCAAAAATTCAAAATGCACTTGGCCGAAAACCGAAACCGAAATGCACAGTTTTTAAAAATGAATATATATTTTTTGGAAAATTTTTTTGTAAAATGTGAAAGAGGATGTTACAGCGAGTAAATAGATACCCAACATGTCACGCTTTAAAACTGCGCACGCTCGTGGAATGGCATGAAACTGCAGTACTTAATGGGTGATGCTTTAAAAATGTCTACAGGTTAGCAAAGTTACTGAGGAGGTCTAGTGCAAGAATTATTGCTCTTGCTCCGACGTTCGTGGCAATACCTCACATGTGTGGTTTGAACAACATTTACATGTATGGGCGTGGCCTATGTATGCGTTCACCACTACATGCGAGCACGGGGGGATGGGGGCACTTTAAACTTTTAAAAAAAAATGTATTTAATTTTTTTTTCCACTGTTCCTTTAAAAAAATTGTAATCACTTTTATTCTTATCTCAAGAAATGCATGCATCCCCTGTGATAGAAATAGTTAGTGACAGGTCCTCTTTATGGAGAGATATGGGGTAAGTAAGACCCCACATCTCTCCTCTGCAATGTAGAGCAATGGATCAAAAAAAGCATTGATCTAGTGCTTTAAACAAAAAAAAAAAATGGCCGGAAGTGAAGTGACATCGCTCCGGTCCTCCAAAGGCATAGAGATGAGAGGAGGCCATCTTTCCTTCTCTCATCTCTATGCCCAGCGCCAGGATCGATGGTGTCTCAGGGAAGGCTGAACTACTGAGTGGCGGCCAGTGGTAGCAGCGTACGGCAGGGTTTTTTCAGCACTTGTATTGGGGCTTTTTTTCGGGGTGTTTTCGGCCACCGAAATTTTGGTGCATCCCTAGTACATTCATCTTTATGTATTGTGTGCTGCAGAGGTTCTAGAGTGGAGAGAGATTAGAACCGCTGTCAGTTTCAGGGGAGATCCCCCCCTCTCTATTTGTCCAGTTTACCATTATCATTGGAAATGAAAGTAAAAGAAGATCCCAAATTTTGGGTTGTCCCCATAAAAGTAATAGAGGGGAAAGCTGCCAATGGGGTCACTAGTTCTGGTGACCTGGGGGGCCCCAAGGAATTCCCTTAACTTGCAGGGTTTTCCTCTCACATCTTGTTTGGCTATGGGACAGGAAGTGAAGGGAAATCTCTGCAATGGGATACAGATGGCAAAAAAATAAAATCTGACGGGTTATAAGCCTCCCTTGCTCTATCAAAGATAGAAAAAAAAAACATTTTGCCTATAGATCTACTTTAAGGCAAGGCCTTCAACCGTGTGGAGTTAATTAGGTCAATGACCCTTATGGTTCTGTCCTGGACTTCTCTTCATGGAATAAAACTGCCCTGGTCCATATGGATAATTTGTGGTATATAATGGAGGAGTTTGTTGGCGAGGATCTTGGAAAAAAAGTTTAAGATGTACATTTAGGACGATTGATCTGTAACTGTCACATTGGGTTCGATCCTTTTCTGCTTTAGGGATTATTATTATTATACAGGGTTTATATAGCATCAACACTGTGTGCAGCGCTTTACAAACTGAAGGTAGACATTACAGTTACAATACAATTTGGTACAAGAGGAAACAGGGCCCTGCTCCTTAGAGCTTACAATCTAGGAGATCACTGTAATATGAGCGCTGGGCAAGACAGGGGTGGCCTCAAAGAGGAGGACAGAAGAGAGTTGAAGAGAGGGAAGGAAAGACAGTAAAGATCAGGCAAGGGTAGTGGGAGAGGTTATGATGCTTGCACTTTTGGTCCAGTAGGGACAGGAGCAACATATGTTGGGGTAAAGGTGTGGGATGAAATGAAATGAAATCCTTCAAAGGATATAACGGATGGAACTGGTCAGACTGGAGATGTTAGCACAATGGAGATTCAAAAGAAGAAGGGGGAGATGTCCAAGGGCGTATGATGGATTGTCTTTATGAGGCAGGTAGTCTATATCAGGCAAGGGCAGTGGGAGAGGTTATGATTAGAGATGAGCGAATCGAACCAGGCGAACCGGAATTCGAGTCGAATTTCAGGAAATATTCGATTCGCGTCAAATCCGAAATTTTGCCTACTTCGGGTGCGCGAATCGAATATTTCCCGATCAGCCGGCAAAAGTGTCCCTGCAGTGAGCTCCGCTATTTCTGACAGTTCTCTGACAGAAGGAACACATGTTTAGCGGTTGAAACATTGTATCTATTAGTTTCCATTTAGGATACAGATGTTTCAACCGCTGTACATGTGAAGAAGCTGTCAGAGAACTGTCAGAAATAGAGGAACTCTGCACATACACTTTTTGCCGGCTTGGAATTATTCTTATTTTTCATCCTACTACTTCTTCTTCTTCTTCTTCTTCATCCTCATCCTCATCCTCTTCTTCTGAGGATGAGGATGAAAGAAGAAGAAGAAGAAGTAGGATGAAAATAAGAATAATTCCAAGCCGGCAAAAAGTGTATGTGCAGAGTTCCTCTATTCTGCAGATACACTTAGAGGAGCTCTGACAGAAATAGACTATTTCTGACAGTTCTGGGACATTCACTCCATACAGCGGTTTCAACCGCTGTATGGAGGGAATGTCATAGAACTGTCAGAAATAGACTATTTCTAACAGTTCTGGGACATTCCTTCCATACAGCGGTTGAAACATTGTATCTATTGGGAAGTAGGATAAAAATAAGAATAATTCCAAGCCGGCAAAAAGTGTATCTGCAGCGCTCCTCTAAGTGTATCTGCAGAATGTCATTTATGGAAAAAAATAGATACAATGTTTCAACCGCTGTATGGAGTGAATGTTCCATAACTGTCAGAAATAGACTATTTATGACAGTTCTGGGACATTCACTCCATACAGCGGTTGAAACCGCTGTATGGAGGGAATGTCATAGAACTGTCAGAAATAGACTATTTATGACAGTTCTGGGACATTCACTCCATACAGCGGTTGAAACATTGTATCTATTTGTTTCCATAAATGACATTCTGCAGATACACTTAGAGGAGCGCTGCAGATACACTTTTTGCCAGCTTGGAATTAATCTTATTTTCATCCTACTTCTTCTTCTTCTTCTTCATCCTCATCCTCATAAGAAGAAGAAGAGGATGAGGATGAAGAAGAAGAAGAAGTAGGATGAAAATAAGAATAATTCCAAGCCGGCAAAAAGTGTATCTGCAGCGCTCCTCTAAGTGTATCTGCAGAATGTCATTTATGGAAAAAAATAGATACAATGTTTCAACCGCTGTATGGAGTGAGAAATAGACTATTTATGACAGTTCTGGGACATTCACTCCATACAGCGGTTGAAACCGCTGTATGGAGGGAATGTCATAGAACTGTCAGAAATAGACTATTTCTGACAGTTCTGGGACACTCACTCCATACAGCGGTTGAAACATTGTATCTATTTGTTTCCATTTGTTTTCATCTCCAAGGGCATTTAAATTAAAGGTACAGTGTTCTGCACTAATTTAAAGGCTCTCTGAAGCCTAGAAACCCTTTTAATAAGTTAAATTCGTAGCGAATTAATTCGCATCGAATCGAATTTCATACTGGAATTCGCCGAATCAGCCGAATCGAATTTTTGAGAAATTCGCTCATCTCTAGTTATGATGCTTGCACTTTTGGTCTAGTAGGGACAGGAGCAACATATGTTGAGGTAAAGGTGTGGGATGAAATGAAATGAAATCCTTCAAAGGATATAACGAATGGAACTGGTTAGACAGGAGATGTTAGCACAATGGAGATTCAGAAGAAGAGGGGGGAAATGTCCAAGGGTGTATGATGGATTGTCTTTATGATAAGCATGGTAACACAACCCATCAAACGTAATAACAGAAAAAAGACATATAAATTATTAAATGTGCATCAAAATATGCAGCTTTGTAAATGGGGCCAGAAGTCCAACAGCTGTGATGAGCAAAGCCATTAGATCGACTGCTAAAATGGCAGTCCAATCCACTACTAAACAATACAGAACAAGGTAGCAATAGGGTATGATAATAGAGTCAACTGTGAAGTCCAAAAACGGGATTAGGCATGATGTGGAGGATGCAACATCAAACATAGGACAGCCCACTATGATCCACAGGGACCAGATGAAAAGGTGTTGAGTTTTGGGCAGAGTGTGATGAACGGTATTTCACCCTTTACTCTGTGTACTTTATCAAGTGGATTGTGGTGCTGGAATCCTGAAATAACACTGGATATTGACAGTAAATTTATGTTGTCAACAGTGTAATGATGATCTCTCGTTGTGGAGCATCAACATGATAAGTAGGCAGCCTCTGCTCACCAAAACGGTCACCACAGTCACCTTGAGTTTTGTAGAAAATGTCTGCCGCATCAGAAGGTTTGAGTCCAAAATGACATGGATTCCATGCGTAAAGTAGATCTATAATCCAACACGTTCTGGTGGCTAGACATCACCCTCTTCATCAGAGGTTAATGCGTACAATATATGAGGATTCAGGATGTGATAAGCTATTGATAATTGTGCAGCACTAAAGCAACATTTAGCAGCTGGTTGAAGTGACAACACTTTCACTCTCTGGGATCTGGGTGGAAGGCTTGAGGCTGGAGGTTGCTCATCAGGGAGTTCTAACTATGTACGCAAATGGATATTATTCACTTCGGGAAATTGGAAAAAGCACTGGTATTTGGGAGGGGTTATACAGAAAGAAGGATCTATTCTCTTCATAACTGCAGATGGAAAGGGGGCCCCAACTTGTAATTGGCACCTGCATCTTTGATAAGGACTAATAGGGGCCATACCAGTCTTCTCATCCAAGTGTTGGGAGAGATCAGGCAGCACAT